TATATATATATATATATATATATATATATATATATATATATATACACAATTAATTCAGTAGTTGATGAAATATTTTGTTAACAGACATACTGTACATCTGATCACACAGACCTTCTTCTTGTTCTTGTTCTTCTTGTGGTTCTTGTGATTCTTCTTCTTCTTGTGACTCGTGGTGTTGTTGTTGTTGTTGTTGTTGTTGTTGGTCTTCTTCTTTTTCTTGTTCCTAATCTTGTTTCTGTTCCTTTTCTTGTTGCTCATCTGCTTCATCTTCGTCTGCTGCTTTGTTGCTATTGTTGTTGCTGTTGTTGTTGTTGTTGCTGTTCTTGTTCTTGATCTTCTTCTTTGGGCTTTTCCCTCTTCAAGGGTCGCCACATTGATTCACCCTCCTCCATCTCTGTCCTCTGCATCCTCTCTCCTCACTCCAACTACCTCCATGTCCTCTCTAACTGCATCCATACATCTCCTCTTTGTATTTTTCCTGGCAGCTGCATTTCTAACATCCTTCTACCAGTATACCCACTGTCCCTCCTCTGGACATGTCCAAACCATCTCAGTCTGGCCTCTCTAACGTTATCTCCCAGTCGAAACAAAGAAACTATTTACCCTTTTCTGCAAAATACAGTTGTAACTGTTTAGTAACCTCTCCTGTATTCAGAAGGAGTAATTCAGAACTGAACAGCAGTGGTTCTGTTCTGGGCTTCCTGAATCTCAAATTGCAGTAAATCCATAAAGATTATTAGTGTGTCAAAGAGAAAGAACAGGAGAGAGGATAAAATATCTAATAGGATGTGTTCGCCTCATTCCTCAGGTAATGGTTTTAAACTCTATTGGAAAAAATGGGCTTTTGCCTGAGAGTTTAGGAAGGGCCCCTAACAGGGCCTTAGACCTGTGGCACCGGTCCAACAGTCTCTAATCGAGCCATAAAGCAATTACCGGGAAATACAGATGGAGACAAGTGGAGGGTGAGGGATAGATGGATTATCGGACAAATAAATATAGAGGAGAGGATTTATAGAATGCTGAGTGGGGAGAAGGGAAGAAAAGGGGGGAAAGGAATGTGAAATTCATTACGATAAGAAAATTGATGGAGGGAAACACAATTTGTGCCATTTGATATCACCATTAGCTGATAATCAGTCAGAAAGCTGACTGTTGTATTTCAGCCTGCAGATCAGATGTTCCTGACTGCCTGGCTCACTCTCCTCTGCTACCTAAATCTGTTTTATCTGTGTCACCCCCCCAATATTTGTAAAGTTATTTTTTTAAACGATGGAACATGGCAGCAAGTTACTGTAGAAGAAGAGAAAAAAAAAGTTAATTTGCATAAACACATTAAACATTTTGAGCTTTTTCAGATAAACGTCTTAACGGATGAAAAGTGAGTACAGTATATATGGTGTGGTCTTTTCAAACCAGCAGAATACTTTGAATATGCAAAGTGGGGCCAACAGTCTTTTGACTTATCAGTCTTTCTCTCACTGGTGCTTTTCTTTGTTCTTCCCATGTTCAGCAATCACAGTACAGCCTTTGTGCAAATGCAGATTCAAAAACTACAGAATGTAAAATGCAGGATGTTGGTATGTTGAGAAGGGGGAGTGGTGGCACATATGTTAGAGAAGGTGGTCCTGTGATTGGAAGGTCACTGGTTCAACTCCCTGGACTGACAACATCAAAATGTGAGTGGGAAAGGTGAAACACCCACACCTGCCCCACCATCATTTGCCCCACACTGGGCCCTTGAGCAAGGCCCTTAGCACCATCTGCTTTCCCGGGCTGCCCTAGCTGGCAGCTCCCTGCTCCACACAGAGGGCTGTGGTAGCTCGGTGGGCTGTGGTTGCATCAGGAAGGGCATCCGATGTAAAAATAATAGCCAAGTCTATGTGCGACTTAGTTCGCTGTGGCAACCCCTGAAGAAGGGAGCAGCCAAAAGAAAAAATATGTCCTATATTGAGAAGATTTAGGGAAGTTTATAAAAGAAAACGGGAAAAACTAAAGTTTTGCTCTTTTTTTTTTTTTTTTCTTGTATCCTTTTCTGAAATAGGTTTTTGTTAATTTGAATACAGTAGTCCCTAATTTATTGTGGGGGATCCATACCCTGAAGACCCGCGATAAGTGAAAAACTGCGAAGTAGGAATAGTAGTACAAGTAGTAAGTAGTA